AGTTGTGTTGCCTAATTTTCGGAACCTTCATCAGTGGCGTTCCAGGAGCATTTCGGGCTGGTAACCAAATCAAGTTACCGGAGTTTCCAAACTTCTTCACAAACGTTCTGCTAATTGCGATGATAAATCGTTTTTCAGTGATGTACAGGTTTTGCCTTCACCCTTGTGCTCAACTGTGTGGGTAAGCATGTATTCTGGACACTGCGTTTTGGAGACAATGTTCTGCACTCAACTTGGTTTAACGTAGCCTGAGCTGAACCGTGATGTGAGTCATATTGCTACATCATGCAGGAATCACAAGAGTAACGTACATTCACAACCACTAAAGTGGACCCTATGGTTAATGGCCTTAGAGACCTGGTGGCGTATTCAGGCCCATAACTGTGGCCCATCATAAGGCAATTATTGAGCACTGATCATAAATGAATTATTCTTCCAGTGGCCAGAAGTGTATTTCACAACCACTCCGTACAGTACTTCTACAATTTTTGCTCTCATTTTGACCTGCAGTTAGGAGGGCATTCCACATATAATCTTTTCCGATAATGGAAGTATTTTTTCAGTGAAGAATAGGGCCCATTATTTGAGGCCTTCAGGTTGCCGTCATGTGCTGACTTCTTCTGGGCAACCTCAGTCGAACGGAATAGCACAGAATTTAGTTCAAACGGTAAGGGGTGCAGTCGTCCACTCATGTACCATCGAGTAATGCAATGCTGTCCATTCAAATTTAGAAGAGAGTTCTGCTTCACAACTAATAATTCGAGTCCTGACGCCAAAACTGTTGAGTTTTGCATCTGCCGAAATAACTTACCATCCTAGGCGATGAATTGGGACCATCGGAACATGTTGTGCTCAATCAGACTGAACTGAGTTCAGTTTTATTCCTCACTCAGAAGATGTTTCTATACACCACGGACATTAAAAAAGATTCACTTTTATTGTGCTCACTTCCGAAACCATTTCTGGTTGGACTAATACTGATGTTGATGACTCTGTCTCAGAAAATATTGATTTCCGCGATCGAAGAGAACACTGTAGAAGTTCCGAAAAATTTTCAGCAGAGTGCCGAGTTTCACTCAGGCTGCAGCATACTTGTTTTGCCTACCACCATGTCCGCACATTTAACAAATTAATACACGGGAGGTTTGATCCTTTTATCCTCAGCTATGTTCCCTATTGATTCAGGTGCACAACTTAAAAGCAGGCCACCATTTTCAATTGCTTTATTGCTTTCAGGTAGGTGACCACAAACAAATACTCACGCGTTATATAGGATGCTCGTTACTCGTGAAAGTTTGGAATAAACTTTTGCTTAGAATACGACTTAAATTCGTGTTCATGAGTGATTCAAACAAACTCGTGAAACATCATTTGTTTCAGGGAGGCTAGTCAAATGGCCAGCTACACAATGGCTGTTGGAGTCATTAGTGCAACCTGTGATGGTGCGTAGGATAAAGAGGTTGGTCACCATCAACGTGATCGACTGTGAGTGAATGAGACTATAAAAAGTCGTGGTTTGTAAAGGTTGCAGCGTTGTGTTCTGAACATTGTTTTAGTTTATTCAACGCCTAATAAAGTTGTATTGTTTCCCATCGCAGAATCACATTCCGTCATAGTTGTGACACACTGGTTTCCAGAAAAATATGGTTTTGCCGTATTTTTAGTGCAGCAATCCACTGCAAACAAGAAGACGACTTGAGTATTCGTCCCTACACTTCGCCACTATCTCCTGGTTATGTTACATATAAAGTTAATTGGTATAGTGGTGATGCTGTAGACCAGAACAAATGTCTCAATCGGACAGTCGTGTGCATTAGTTTC